GGCCGCTGCGGCTGCCCTCCGCTCCAGGGTGGTGGCAGAGCAGCGGCCGGTACCGAACTGTTGTCAGAACTCGGTCTCTGAGGCCTTTGGTCTTTGTTGAAGCCTCGCAGCACGTCCTGGTGAAGGTTTTATGGAGCAGGACACGTAATGGGGTTGTGGATGTCGCTAACAGCTAAGCAAAAAAAAATAGGAAAAAAAGCAGATGTGGGACACATGCAACATGCATGGCACAAATACACCACGGAATTTTTCTTCTGAAGCGAGATTTCGTTTATGTCTTTGTATTGCTTGGAAGGAAGAAATGGTAATCAAGCAGTAGGGCAAAGTAGCATCAGAGATGTTGCTCATCTAGCCGCTCTGTTCCTGTACCTGTTACCTAAGTTACTTTCTAGTCTTTTGCTCCCGTTCAATCCCTTCTAGGTCAGACATTCAAAGTGACATCACAGGAAGCTACGAAGTTGAGTCTGGCATTCTCAAGGCCTCCACTGACTTCTGCAGAGGTGAGTGAAAGCTCCCACAGACCGTGAGGTATCTCTTGGTTCACTTGACTAAAACGTTTGGTTCAGTGCAAACAAGGGGTGTTGGTACGGGCTGTGCACTGTAGAGTGCATTAATCTGATTCAAGAATTGCCCAGGGACACAAACCAAATACAAGTATTCTCACAGTCTTTTCTAGAGCATCTACAGCTGGTTGCTGATAGAGACAGGATATTGGATGGTACAGACCTTAGACCTGACAAAGAATATGCAACATTTTTGCTGCTAATTGAGATAAATTTATCACACCTGTGGAGGAGAAAAAAAAGACCTCCATTTCAGAATAATGATCTAAGCTACCTTTTCCCCTGATGCATGACCACTGCACCAGGATGTGTTTTGTTACCAAATCGTGAGGCAGCTTATGATGCATACAGCTTGTTTGCTGTATCTTGTGCTGTAGTAAGATGGTCATTACTCTGTTTCCCTTTTCTCAAAGCAATCTGAATGTGAGTGATTGCTCGTTAGACTTTCTAAATGCAGTGCAGCCATTAACTCATGGTTAATCCTTTTTCCTATCCATTTTCAGGATTCCCAGAAGCTGTGTGAAGATGTCCAAAATGCCATTCTTGCAGTTGCCACAGTGTACTACTGGCTCCCCAAGGGCCAAGGTGAGATGGTGATAGCAAGGGCAGGCATCACTGTGTAGGGTGGTGGTTCATTTACCACCATGTAAAGAAACCCATTATTTCAGCACCTAATATGAGATCTGGCATCTGCAAGAAAGCAGGTTATCGTAAGGAGGTAGTCCCATTATCAGCTGTGCTGTAGACTTGCAGCATGTTTATGAGTGAACCACTTGTCTATCTACTGCAGATTTTCATCTGTGAAAGAGTGATAATGCAGGAAGTAATTATAGTTGATTGAGCATTTGTATTTATAAAGTGTTGAGATCCTTGTCCAAAGTCTGTTTGGAACTGGGAAACACAGTTGCTTCCTTCAAGTTACTTGTAACTTCATTTCTGTGGTCTGTGTGTTCATCTTGGGCAGTTGCTTTCTGTTGGTGCTGACTTTGTGGCAACTTTCATGCTCTTTCTCAATCTCAACCAGGTACTACTCTTCGGAAGATGGTACGAGATGCTACCACTGAAGTTGTGGAAGGAATGATCCAACTCACAGAAACAATTCTCAGTGCTCCATTGGAAAGGTAGTAATTTTCCAGAAAAAAAAAGAAAAATTTCCAAGTATACTTGTTAGGAAGCAGCAAGTGTGTACTGCTTCCTGAGGGAAGGGGGGAGGCAGAAGCAAAACATTTTTATGAGGCAGGAAGGGGCAGTGGCCTCAGCAGCAAAGGCGCTGCTCCCCAGTATCTGAGGGAGTAGGGCAGTGCTGGTGAGGGTAGTGAGGTTCAGCTGAGAGTCCAGATTGTCAGACAAGCCCGTAGTGATGAGGTCAAACTGGAAAGTCAGGCCAACAAATCAGGGTTTGGGACAGGTCCAGAGAGAGTAAGTAGCATCAGACACCATCTGATTGCCCAGCACGTCCATTACAATGAGTTGGATCTGAGGTCAAGGCAGGAAGGTGAAATCAGTAGGTCAGAATCAAGGAAGTGTGAGACTGGCTGCAGACACAACTGCCACGTAGCTGTGATGTAGCACCAGTGGGCCCAGTGAAAGAACCTCAGAGTAAAGCCATCTCCTAGGGTAAGGAAGGGCCAGCCCTCACTTTGAGCTTTCCTCACAACACCTCCTGTCAGCAAAGGAGCTGACCTTGTACATAGCCAGCTAAGCTCTTCAACTGAGACAACTAAACTCCTGGGAGGGTGGAACATGCTCAAGGGCCTTATGGTACCCTCTTGTCCCAGTGACTGAGTCACGTACATCTGCCTACATGGGGAAGAAATTTTCATCCTATCTGTGGCAAGGAAAGATGCTGGGAACACGATTTTCACAAAGGTGCTGATAGCTAGTTATTGGACCACTATAGACTGCTTCCTCTCTTTATGGATTACACATGCTGCCCCTTAGGCAGAGGTCAGCAGTGTCTAATACAGACTTCTGATTTGCATGGATTCTGAAAGATAAACAATATACCTAAGCACTGTGAGAGGCCTTCATAAAAGGCTCTTTCTTCTTGTTCCAATGGATAATTCAACTCAGTAGGAGCCAGCACTTCTTGCTTTACACGGACATGAGATACTAGAGACAGGCTGGTTGGTGACATCCTTCCTTGTCTAAAGTTTCTACTAGCGTACATCATCTTTGGTACAGAAAATAATACAGTCTTGCAGAGTGTTGTTATTAAGTCTAACTTTGGGGGCCTTTGTTTTGTTTCAGCTTGTCTCAGGAGCAGCTTATATCAACTGGTGGTGTGTGGGAGGCGTGTGAACAAGTATCCAGCCTACCACGAGGTGAGTACTGTATATAGAGAACAACAGAACTAGGATGCGTTGTCCTGGAATGTTGATAGCCCTTGCAAGGGGCATTCTAGCTAGTACAATGAAGGCTCACTCGTTCTGCAAAACCCAACTGCTTCTGAAATGTGTAAGCTTGGAAGCTAGGCTAGATTCTTTGCATGGCAATGATGCAGCTCTGATCTCTTCAAAAAGTTTAATCTGATAATCTCAAGATCTAATGCTTGCAGACGTAGATGAACGTTGTTGCACTGATTTGAATCAGTGCAGCACTGTAGTTTTCATCTTTTGCTTTTGCAGATAACCAGGCAGCAGTTGCGTCATCCCTGGCTGCATGTCTAGGTGTGGTCAAAGATGCTCTGGAGGAGATGGAACATGTAAGGAAGCCCCTAAGCCTTTGAGGAACCTGCAGTGATTGATTGCATTTACAGTTCAGTGATGGAACACAGAGATTGTTTTATATACAAGATTTGATTTAAGTTTGTTCTGATATGAGCTAACTATTGTATTATGTCTGGATCTTAATGAGTTTTTAAACATGAGCCTGGTTTACTTCGTGTAAGGTTTCCGTAAATCCATGTCCCGAATGGCAGAGCAGGGGTGTGGGATGGGGTGGCAGGGTGGTTTAGGTTGGTGTAAGAATGATGCTGTTTGCCAGGTTCTTGCTGTTTGCTTTGTTGAAGTGGAGTGGGGGATTAGTTTTTCTTAATCCAGTCCTGCTAAGATTAACAGAATCTACCAACTGAGATACTGGTTGGAGAGAGATTCATCTGTAAATTATCTGTATGATTTCTAGACTGTGTTTTCCCTTTCCTCTTGGGTATTGCTGGAATTGATGTTAGGCTCTGGGTTTTCAGTGCATCTGTGTTCTCAGGCTCTGGTGGAAGGACAAGACCCCTACAGTGACATCATGGAAGATGAAGAGCTGGGCTTTCGGGGCAACAGAGATACATATTGGTCAGAAGCTGACCGGAAGCTGCTTAGCTCCTGCATGGGGTTAATGAAGGCTTCGAAAGCTTGCCTGAAGAAGGCCTTGGGTGTCGTGAAAGCTTATGGCAAAGCTGATTCTCCAGAGCAAATCGCTCAGCTGGATGATCTTGCAGATATTGCTAATGAGATCAGTCCAAGGTAAGCAGGTCTTTCCCCATGCCTTTTTGCTCCAGAGCGGTCCCTGTCTTTTTTGAGGTCTAGAGAACAGATTGGGAAAACCTTCATGGTATTGAAGCTGTGAGCAGGTGGTGGGAAGACTATGATGGCACAGACTGTTGAGAGTTTTTCAGATTAGGAGAGGAGCATATGTTGCAGCTTGGGGGTGGAGCTGTGGCCACGGCTCACTCTTAGTGGCATATAGGTGTCTGAGAAGACTCTGAGAAGCATCCCAGGGGTATGACTGATGATGTCTCCTTGTCATGTGGTGCTGTTCCTGGCTTACATTCAGGGTGGCTGTAGGCTTTGACCAGGATCCCTGAACTGTGCCATCAGGACCTTTCTTCCATTGCTCCCTTCTCTTCCAGTGTTGATGAGCTGGCACTGAGCATGTATCCACCTGTGAACCAGCTGGCCGTGCGCCTCAATGTGAGTATCTGCAGCCTGCATGCAGGTCTGCTCGCTTTGCTGTAGAGAAGGGGAAGGCATCAAACTGGAGGGATTATGTGGCTATCAGGGAGAGGAGGGTGTTAGTGACTGTCTCAGTAACAAGTTCTTAGGGATGACGAGTCCCCTTTGGCTCTTGTACACTTAGCTTCTGTCGGGTGGAAATGCATTCCTCGTCTTTACTTCTTCAGGGAAGAGCATGGCCCCTTGAGCCTTGTCTCTGAACTGTAATCCTTGGAGATGTCCAGTGAGAGTGACTGAGGAGAGTGAGGGCTAAGGCTGCTGATGTACTGCATGTCTACTTTCTTCCTTGGGTAATGTAGACTTGCTCAAATAAAGTTACTTAAATTAAGAATTCTCAGAGTGGGTGTGGTTCAGCACTGAAACAAGCTGCTCAGAGCAGCAGTGGAATCTCCATCCTTGGCAATACTTAAAACTTGACTGGGCAAGGCTCTGAGCAACCTGAACTTTGAGGTAGGCCTTGGTTTTAGCAGGAGGTTGTACTAGATGACTTCCAGGGGTTCCTTGCAACATAAATTAAGTACGTATCTTCTCATATCTCGAGATATTTTAATTCTTAATTTTGGTTTCATTCCTTTGGCCAGTGGCTTGATTTCAGATGGTAAAAAAGAAAGTATTGCTTAATATCAAATTGCATTACAGTCAGTCGCTTGTAACTTCATGCCTTTATATTACTAATTTCTAATAGACTTACCTTTTTAAAGAAAAAACCCCCACATTTTAACAGATGTTTTAAAAACCAGCTCAGTTTTATTTTCACCCATCCCAGCCAGCAGTAGGTCAAGTGACACTCCCAGCACAGCACTGATAAATAGCTTCCTTCTTCAGGATCTGTAGCAGTTCTACTCATTCTTGACTCTGTTGGGCATTCCTGCACCCCTCTTTCTTTTTTAGTAGTGTTGAGCACCTATTTTTCCATGTATGACTTACTTTATTTCCCATTTGTTTCTTTCTAGGCTGCTAAATTGGCCTCGGTATTAAAGAAAGTCTTAGAGATTACAAAGTGAGTATGAGTTACAGTTTTATAAGTGTGTGTTCCCTTCTGTGAAGGTTGATATCTTTCTGTCTTCTGTTAAAGATGATGCATTTCTAGACACTAAATACTGGCATTTTGCGATAATTATGATGTTAGCCAGTCACAAAGGGATGGGAGTGAGAAAAGGATGGTAGAGATGAAAATGGTTCCCAGTGAAGACATGTGTATGTGTTAAGATTTGGGACTAGAAACAAGGGTTCTTCCTTGTTCAAAGCACTCTGGGGCTATAGCAGTCCTGTTTTAATGCTGTAGTAATTCAGCACTTCGCAATACCTGTGTGTTGTCTGGATGCATAGGTGTAAGACACCAGGGAGGCTTTCCTAATGAATTTCCTCCACTTTTGCAGGACAAGCCATGTATGTCCACCATCAGAGGAAGGCTGGGTGCAGTTTCTCACTGGTGCAGTAGATCACAACATGAACAAAATCAAGAACTTCACACAGGGTCAACTTTAGCTCTTCCATGTCTACTTGTGTTGCTGTCACTGGCTCTGGCATATGCTTTTCTAGTTAATCTCACTGTTCTCCAGCTACTGGGAGAATGATGAGAACAGTGTTTTTAGGAGAGAACTTTACTGCCACTTGATAAAACTTTCCCAGGAAGTCACTCTTTGCCATTGCAGAAGGTGTAATTTTGCTTGGATTCCTGGGATGGTGGTGGTGCTACATCTGAATGCTGTGAATGTGCCCCGTTTTACAGAAATTACAACTACTATGGGGTTCAAAGAACAATAAAATATTGCTAGATTTGCATGAGTGGCTTGATCTGTTTTCAGGTGGCAGAAGATGTATACAGAAGGAAAGTGTCTTGCTTCTTGTGCAAACAGTCCAGTGAACTACTAAAAAATATGCAGCAGTGCTATTTCCTGCCGGACCTTAGAGAAGAGTGAACTATTTTTCTCTTTTCTCTTTCCTCAGCAGTAGAATATATTATTTACTTCTTCACCAACATCAAGGATCTGTAGGGGGATAAGAGTGTATCTCTAGAGAAAGGCTACATCTATCATCACTTGAAAGTTCTACAATATCCTTTTTTGCCACGGATAGGGAAAAATGACTTAAGTGGTGAGTTCAGCACGTATGCATGTTGAGAAATGCAGCATCTACACGAGCATTAGCCTGTCTTTTTCATGAGGTTCAGCTTATGAAAGTAGAGAGTGGGCATAGTGGCAGATGGGAGAGAGTTGAGTTTGTACAAATAATCAAAGTCAGACATGGTTTAAAATATAACTTTAATTAAACTCTTAACATCTATGCTTGCCTAAGATCAGGGCACAGATCGTGACCACTCATTTTTTAAACAGGACAGCAGGACCTGTTCTAAGTTGGGCGTCAGGCAGCTGCAATGTCGATAGTTTCGTAGCTCTTCAGGTTCTGGAGCTGAAGGCAGGTAAGATATGCAGTGAGTCTTCTGGGCCCTGCTTGGGTGGGAGTGAATGGGATTTGCAGCTGTTGAATGCTTTTAGGTTGCACAGAGCCCAGCCTGAAAGGTGAGAAGGTGTTATACATGAAGTGCTTCTCTTTGTATTTCTAGTTCCCAGGGCCCAGGAGATGCATTCGCTAGACAGGAGTGTGTACCAAAAAAAAGAAAGGCAAAAACCCAGAAGGCGGCTAGCAGCTATCTAAACTACCCTATGGAATTGTGAGGGAGATAGGACCAGAGGGTTGAACTCCCCATGCAGGCATCTGAGGTTACTTTTTCCTAATGCAGCTTCTTGAGAGAAATATGGGGTCTTTTTCACGTGAAGGAGAGCTTGTCTTTTTGGATTACTCTTGACTAAGTCAAGTTGCCTGGTTCTTCAGCAGAAAAGGGAAAGACACTGTTAAAATTGTACCCAGGCTCTGTCTTTATTGCTGACAGTGGGTAATGGGTAGAAACATGCCACAAACAGTACAATTTTACTGATGTTTAGGTGGCTAGTTAAAAAGCAATTGATTTCTCAACAGCAAATAATTTCTAAATTTCATAGCTCACTTCAGATACCTATAACTGTTGTTTAATGTGTTTTTCTGCCCAGGTCTTGTGGTGCTTCTCTTGCTCTACCCTTTTTGTTGGCATGAGGCTTTCCTTCTGCTGTCTAGGCCTTTGGGGTTGAAGCTTTCACAGATGTCATGCTGGCTTCAACTTAATTATTACACATGTGTTGAAAGTTCTGTTATCTGGCTTTTCCCCTTTTCAGTGTGAAAATCTTCTGTATTATGTTAAATAAAGGACAGGATGCCTGAGGCTTTCACGCTGTAGCAGTCTCTTCCTGCCATGTTGTTGCCTGCTTATTTTTGGGGAGAGCCTTTCCTGTGCAAGGGTTTATCTAGTTTGTTATTGTGTCTCTTTTTCCATTTACTGTTCTTAGAAAGATCCATTGGTTTGCACTTACGTGTACTTCCTTTGTCTGTAAATGAGCCCTCGTCCTGCAACCACTATCACACACTTCTCCAAGGGTTCAGTGAGAGAGTTCAGGAGGCTGATCTTTGCCGTGCTTGGCTGATATTGTACCATGTTTTCTGGAAACTGTTAAAAGAAGGGTATGAGCTGAAACTAAGAGAAACAAAGAAATTCTTCGATGATTAAAGGGAGATAAATGATTTTCTGGTGCCAGAGGTCTCAGCCTGAGCTGGCAGTTGCCAGAAGAGGCAAAGTCCAGCTCACTTTCTTCTCAGCTAGTCTGCTGTGGTTTCCTTCTGCAGCCTCTGATTTCCGACTGGTGAGTGAGTTAGGAGTCATTGGGATTTCCTTATGCTCACACTAGACAAGGTAGAAGAGTTAGTACTGTATACAAGTGTGGCACAACTCACCTTGCCCAAACTGATGTGTCAGTGCTTTGAAAGAAGACAGCATGAGGAAAGCCCCTCAACCCAGCAGAATTTTTTTGCTGCTTATGACTATGAAAGCTGTTTTCTCACTACAGCAGTAACAGAATGATAAACGAATCTAACCTCAATAGTGAGAGGGGGATCACAAATGCTGATCTCTTCCTGTGCAAAGTACATGTAGACAGAGTCCTCTTCTCTCAGCATGGCAGTCAGCCTAAGTAGATGGTTCTCTCCCAGCTCTTTTCTGTACCTTGAGTAAGGCACCAAGACCTGCAGGTTGCTTGCTGAAATAGAGTGGTGAAATACAGATGACAGTGCAGATGATGAGTACAGTCTGGTCTTAACTGGCACCTAGGAGTGCTTAGTGCCCAACATTGTACTGAAAACTGCAGCATAAAAGGTTAAGTCATCCCAACTGGATTTGCAGATTCAAAATCTCCAAGGTGATATTGTCAGTGTTATATTTTAATCACCTACAGTCAGCTATTCAGCCAATCTTTTGTAAACTTATGGCTAAGTGCATTTTTCCTGAAGCAAGAGGACTAGATACACTTTTCTAGCCATGCATCCAGTAGAGTCCTTACCTTCATTGCTTTTGAGGATAAAATGAAACTCTTCCTTCCAAAGTTGGCTAATGGGCACACCATTATAATGTAGAGACTGGGCCCCAGCTACAAGGTGAATAGACTTTTCTCTACCACTGTGGTTAGACACTTCAATGGAAAGAGGAACATCTTGTCCCAGTAGCAGAGAACTCTTTGACTGGAGGTGGATGAAAAGGTTAACTGGCTCTTCAAGGGCGATAGGAATGGAGCTAAACTGTGTTTCGTCTCTGCTGCTGGTTGTCTCAAGTTTCTTTACATTTCTGTAGGCTTTATCAAGTACTTCTTTTTCCTGAAGAGAACCTGTCACAAATAAAGGGAGCCCATATTTTAGTTATTCTTTACTGTTTACTACTGTGAAGCAGTAAATGCAGAAGGATGGTGTTGAATTATCCTGGTGGTACTGTAGATAATTGTTTCAAAGAGCATAAAGAGATACCCTGTTGTGCTTCTGCTTGGAGCAGTTTGAGAATTTCAACTGACAGGACATTCATTGGATGTACTTGAAAGACCTACTTGGAAAGATTTGACAGTTTTTAAAGCACTTTGGCACTAATATCTGTCAAAGAGGCTGTAGCTGGGACACGGTACTATGTTCTCTTGTGAAGGACTGCAGCTAAGGAGACAACATGCCACAGGCTAAGATGGGATGCGAGTGTTGGGTCAGGGAAACAGTGCTCTAATAGATTCTGAAGGGGGAGCTACTTTTTGAGAGAGATTTACACAATACCTGGGAGCGCAACAGTCCTTTTCAGAAAGCTGGAGCCTGAAGTATATCTATGTGTATTACAGGGGTAATGGGAGGTGAATATATAGAGTGTACAGGTAACAGAAATCTGGAAATAAGGTTTTCCAGGCAGGAATGTGCCTGGTAAAGGAAGGTCTGGCCTTTTAGAGAGCTGGTTAGTGTAATTAAGCAGGATGAAATTTTGGGTATGACCTGTAAACAGCAAGGGTAAGGTGTTCTTGTGCCACTCAGGAAGGGGAAGTAGTGAGAAGCGGATGACCCTAATGGTCTGGTATGGCTCTGCTCCCTAGACCTTTACTCTTCATTTGTAACACTGCAGGGAATGTGCTTAGCCACTTGCCCACCCTGTACCTTCAGGGTACTTGTAATTGTGTGTGATGTCCTCACAGCGTTCACTGCCCACACTCTTGGTGCTGATGTTGTTGCCAGTGTACTTTGTGCCACTGAGAGCTGGCTTGAGGGTGTCATCTGCTTTTTGTATCCAGACCTGGCACTTGGCATTGATGGCAGCAAAGAAGTAGCAGACATCATAATCAACTTCTGTGTCCCCTTTCTTGATGGCTTGAACAGGAGCTGGCCCACAGAAGGATGGACCTGAAGAGAAAATATGGCCCAGTTAAGATTCAGATGCTTTCCCAACTAGACCTGTGCTTAGCTTAGACCTATACTGGGAGTGGTGAAGTATCTAGTTTAGGAGGACATTAGGGAGCAGTGCTGTGATAGATCTCTTAGAACTACAGAAGCTGCACAGACCAAACAGGTGGATGATGATTTAGTGCTTAAAGTCAACAGGATGAGTCCCTGTCCTTTTGCATCCTTCCACTGGAAGTTGGGGAAGGGAGGAATATTGAACTGCTTTATTTGCTCCCCTTCCCCCCAGCCCCCAAGCCCATCTTTGATACCTTACCTCTGCTTTTTTCCTGGTAGGTGGCATCCAGTGCCTGCCACCCGCTGTACCCTGGTAGCAAGTCCGCTCGAGCCATCCAGCATTCATTCCAAACGTGGAAGGTCCTGCAAGAGACAACATCTTATACGAAAGGACTGAGCCCTGAGGTACAGTAAAGTTTTAGACAAACCACAGCCAATTCATGCTCCTTTGAAAGAGCTCAAGTGCATGTTGAGGGGAGCAGAGACTGTTTTTTGACACTAGTGGAGTTTCTCCAGCTGGACTGGGCTATCTTTCTTTCCTTGTGGGCTCTAGGAACAGGGGACTCTACAGTTTGAGTTGCAGCAGTTTCTCAACAGGTCATGTAGACAGGATCTCAACTGAGCTGTCTCCTATCCGCCTCCCTGCAGCTGTTTATCTCTTTTCCCCCACTTTATCACTTTCTAGATCCAGGTATTGTCTGAAATTCTTGCTTGGGCCCTGCCACGTTTTCTTACCAGATACGGGCACTCTTGTCTTTTGTAAGCAGTGTTCCATCTTCATTATAATACTCATTCACACTCAGGCTGCTGTTAGTGTTGTGAGCCCACGTAAAGCCTGTGACCACCCTGGTAGGAATTCCCAGGCACCTCAGAACTGTGCAGAAGAAAGAGCTCTGAATCAGTTGTGCATCCTGCCCTAAGGGTGCCTCTGCTGGTAGAGGTAG